TATTGTGGCCACTCCAACTTTTACGTGGAAGCTTTAGGATGACTCTGTTCTCCCCTTCATTCCACCCCACCCCCTCCAGAACAGCAGGGATGGGGAATTTCAAGCAGTGATCAGAAACCCGGAGTGCAGAGTCCCAAGAAGGCTGTGGGCCCTGGAGGGACGGGCTGCAAACTGCAGGCCCTTGAATGGGATGTGCTGTCCCTCACTGACCACCCAGCATTTGACACAGCTGTGGTTTTATTAAAAGGATCCTATAAACTAGTTCTCTCTCCTAGCAAGAGGACCCCCGACACCCAGGAGACTTAACAGGAAAGGCAAGACAACAGAGAGAAATGAAGACGTAAGCATTAATAACTACCATAGGCCTGTGCCCAAGGAACATCGTGCCAGCTATTGGCGGAATCCACAGGAGACCGAGAGCTGAAGGGGCGGCGGGTCTCGGACCACGTGTGCGCGGATAACCGCGAGTTCGGACCAGCTGTGCAGACTCAGCTCTTGCCCACTTCCCTCCCCCGTGCTTCGCCTTTGCACCTGACACCAGTTAAGCAAGAGCTGCTCACGTGGGAGTTGCCCACGTGGGAGCAGTCTGGGGGCAGTCACCTCTCCCCTGGGACTTGAACCAGGGCGCTGACCCAGCAGGGCTACAGCAGTGGTCCCACCGCCCCCTCCACAGATGGATGTGGGGATACCGTCACCCGCCCTAAATGTGAGCATTGAGGCTCAAAAGCTCTGGTACCTACCTTCCCAGGCACATATGCCAAAACCTCCACTTGGCCCCAGAGGGAGGTGCTTAGGGCTCAGTCCTTCAAACGGCCCCAAACAGAAACTTCAGTTCAAACGCGTCTTCCTCCAGCACTGGTTTTGGAGGCTTCTCAGTTCCCCGTCTTCTAAACCCGGTGGAGTCCGTGGCTGCTTATGAGGCAGCAGGAGCCAGAGCTCATTCCAGGTTTTCCCTTCTGACACGTTGCCTAGACGCTGTGTTTTTCTGGTGGGCTCGCCCAGTAAGGAGGCTGAGGTGTCTCCTGAGGCTTGGAGACCCACGTGCAGACCCCGCAGCGTCTCCAGTCAGAGGCCTGCATGGTCCCTCCGCCACGCAAGGGGGCTCTGCCCTGACAAACGACTTTATGGCAGGATGCAAGTTCAATTTTCCTTCTGTTCATATTCCACCACCATGTCCCTCTCCTATACACTTGATTTTTTTCTGGGGTCTTACATCATTCAGTCTACCATCCGTACACAAAACGTAACTTACCGGAGCAACGGCCACCTCTAGCTCACTGGGATGTTCTCCCACGTGCTCCTCCCTCCCAAGCAGCCTTGACCAGCACCTGCCGGGAGCTTGGGACGACCTCCCAGAGCAGCTGGG